GCTCAAAGCAACAGACTTCCTCTCAGCTGCGATATCGTTGCAGCGAAAGCGTCATTGCTTGCGATTATGCTAGGCATCAAGAACTTTGCTTCGTCCAATGGGTGGCTCACACGGTTCAAGCAGCGCCACGATATGGTGTTTAAAAGCGTTAACAGGGAAAAGGCTGCCGTCAACGCTGAAACATGTGATACATGGAGGGAAAATCAGCTTCGCAAATACTTGGGAGTATATCGGCCAAAAGATGTCTTCAATGCCGACGAGACAACACTTTTTCACAGAATGTTGCCCGAGAAGACGCTGATTTTTAAGGACGATGACTGTGCTGGAGGGAAGCTTAGCAAAGAAAGAGTGTTGGTGCTGATAGCGGCAAACATGACGGGCACTGAGCGATGTCGCCTGCTCGTGATAGGCAAAGCTGCTAAGCTCAGATGTTTCAAGGGCGTGAAAACGCTGCCTGTCGACTACGCGTCTAACAGGAAAGCGTGGATGACCGCAGACCTATTCAAGGATTGGCTGACAAAATTGGATCGCAAGTTCGCGTTATCTAAATGCAATGTATTGCTCCTTGTGGAACAATGCAGTGCACACATGAATGTGCCGCCCTTGAGTGCAATACGTGTCGCCTACCTGCCAGCGAACACTACATCGGTGTTACAAGCACTGGACCAGGGGATCATCAAAAACATGAAAGCACTGTACAGGAAGCATCTTCATGAGCGGATGCTGTTGTGTATGGACAATGCAAGTCAGTACGAGGTGAGCCTTCTCAGTGCTATCCATATGCTGGCGCGAGCGTGGGGTCGCGTAAAGGATGAAACCATTGCGAACTGCTTTAGGGCGTGCTGCTTCATTCCAAGTGGTGCAGATGATGACGCCTCTTGTACAGTGGGGGAAGAAGACACAAGTGAGCTTGACGTTGATGGTCTCCTGCCAGCTCTCGGCAACGTCCCTTTCGAGGAGTACATTGCCACTGACAGTTCGGTAGAAACGTGCGGTGCACTTTTGGACGCTGAAATCGTGGAGATGGTTCGGCCCAGCGAGCCCAGTCACGAAACTGAGGTTGGCGACGCCGCCGTTGCAAGTGAGCCACTACCGCGGGCTGCTGATGTAGCCGCAGGCCTTGCCCTCGCGTAGCGGTTTTTCACTGCGGAGAACAATGCCGAGGAAGCACTTGGGCACATATACAGCCTGCAGGACTTGCTTTCTGCTGCAAGATTCTGCAAACAGAAGCAAACGGCAATCACAAATTTTTTCTCATAAACTGCTTTGAAATAAATGTATTTTTCGTTCATTTTGGGTAATTGAAATTCCGCTTAATTCAAAGTTTTTCGCGGTCCCCGTGAACTTCGTATTAACAAGAGTCGACTGTACTTCAAGAACTCCTTCGCGTATGCTATACAGTTCACCGCACCTCTACTGCCTACCACCCGCAAACGAACGTCTAACGGAGCGTTTCAATAGAACCCTGGGGAGACATGCTCGCGTTGTATGTCACTTCTGACAAGTCAAACTGGGATGTGGAGCTACCATTTGTAACCTATGCATGCAATACCATGACGCAATCATCCACAGGTTTTTCGCCTTTCTTTCTTCTATATGGCCGTGAGCCATGCGGTACTCTTGACACCCTTTTGCCGTATCGCCCGGACGCTTCCGACTTACGTCCTGTTTCTGAAATTGTGCGGCATGCTGAAGAGTGTCGTCAGTTGGCCCGCTCATTCACAGCGGACAGACAAGCCCTTGAAAAAAATGGCAGCATATCCACGGGTTGAATTATGGAGAGGGGGGCGAAGCATCCGTCCGTCCATTCGTTCTTGCTTCCGTCCGTTCATGCGTCCATCTGCGTGACCTTCCGTGCGTCCATCCGCCTGTCCGTGTGTGCGTCTGTTTGTGCGTCTGCACGTCCATCTGTGCATTCGTCCATGCATCTATTGGTCCGTGCAGCCATCCGTGCGTCCGTCTATGTATGTGTCTGTGTGTTCGTTTGTCCATCTAGTCAACACTCCAAGTACCACCATCTTGCATCTTTTCATTATATATGCATCCGTCTGTGTGACTGTCCATGCGTCATCCCCTTGTCCCTGCGTGCGTCTGTTCGTGCGTCCGCACATCCATCCGTGCATCTGTCCCCGCGTTCGTCCATGCATCCACCCCTGCATCTGTCCATCCGTCCGTGCAGCCATCCGTGCGTCCGTCCATGCATCTGTCTGTGTGTCCATTCGTCCACCTAGTCAAGACTAAGTACCACCATCTCGCATCTTTTAATGATATATTCCGCATATAGAAGCACAGCCATCCAGCAGACATTCCAAGGACTAAACGAGAGGTGGCACACGCACACTTTCTTACGGCTTGCGCTTCTTGTCTACTTCCCACCTTTAACCACCTCGAGTTCATGATATATACTAGTTCACTGTATTCATGGCACTGCGGCCCAACGCTCGCTAAACCTTTCTAAAACCAAGGAGGTTACACCCAGCGAGTATAACCTAGCAACCCTTTCTTGTCAGATAGTGCTCAATGTACATGCCAATGGCTGCTAATTGGGAATGAGAGACAGGAGAATTTGGCTTTTAGTTTACGTGCACACTGTGAATTTTTTATTGGTCAACAACGCACAGGAGAAATCTCCCATCGGCACCACCTTACCGGTCAAAGTGTAAGACTGGTTACACACTACGACTACAACGAGGGACGAACGTGTGCCACTTTAAGGAGCTTCGCCCCTAAAAGAACGCCATGACCATGACCAGCAAATCCAGAGTTTCGCCGTAGGCTCTCTCGTCTGGCTTTGACTGCCGTTCTACTCTCCTGGCCTGTCCTCCAAGTTTGCCCCAAAGTACCACGATCCTTACCACGTCGTGGAACGTCGCTCTCATATAACATATGTGATCGAGCCAGTCAACCCATCCACAGACAAATGCCGCATTGGTCGTGAGACAGTTCGCCTCAGTCGCCTTAAGCCATATCATCTCCTTCTGTCATCACCTCGACTCGCCAGGATGGCCTTCTTTTGTCACGGGGGTGTTGTAACGAAGAAGAACAATACGCCATAGTGGGCCATCTCTTTAGCAGAAGCCTCGAGCGCGAGCTGTTCGCCCTAATGCTGTGATTCCTGTGTCGGTCGTTGCCGCCTGCTTTCAAGATCAATAGACCTGCTGTGCAAGTGCTGTTTACACCAATAAACCCTGTTTCACTAATAATAAACTCTATGCACCTCTAATGGGAAAAAAGAGAGGGGGGCTTCTACGAGCATAGAATGGCCGGCATAACTCGACGACTTCAAGAAGGCATGTAAACCAGAAAAACAAGAGCCTAGGTTGGCAAAGCACACAATTATTTCAGCAAAGAAAAATTAAGTTTTGCAAGGAGAAAACAAAAACACTCTCATGCTTGTGCAGCAATTGCTTCTTTTGCACAAATTATCTGAACCTTGCACTACATTTCACAATCAATATTTTCTTTAAAAACTTGTATAATTGACAGGAAAGCTTCCATCTTTAAATTCACCGGTTATCTACCTTTAAAAGTTCATAATTTCCTACTAATTTGACACACTTATTTGTTGTCAATAAAAACTAATACAACCATGAATCTAATAGCATTACTGAACTTACGGCCTAGCAAACTGAATCTTTAGCTCGTTCACGACTATTACAGATGCCGCTTTACTAGGCAAAAGCTAGCAGAGACATCCATAAAACATGCTGACACAATGAAAGTGAAGCAATGAACTAGCTTCTTTGCGGACCAGTTGTATTACTTAAATGACTGTCTTACAATCAGAGGTGCCGACAGGCTATTCAACGATACCTGTTACCCTGTTTCTGAATCGACCCTTAAAGGGGCATATATTTATTTATTCTTTATTTATTCAGTACCTGCATCGCCTTTGCAGGCATAACAGCAGGGGGGGAGGGGTATATAGATTACTGGGTCAACTGACATTTATTTCTTCACATAAAGTAGGGTAAAACCCATCATTACATTAAATTTCTGCAATATTTGATGGAAGAGCATTCCGCTTGTTCGCGGCCCCACAAAAAAAAAGAATAGCGTAAAGTGTCACCTTCAAAAATGTTCAAGAACTTTCAAGGTAGGGGTTCCTTCTTTGTGAAATATATGATATTAATGCAATATGCGATATATTTGTTTCTGTCAATGCCTGTTTTTCAATAATAAATACTGAGAAAAAATGTGAGTCTCAGTGCCTTTCATCTGTCCTTTAAGTCCTGCCAATGAAGTGCACGCTTACTTTCAGAAACACTGAGGTTTTTGTCATAATTCCCCAAAACAAATCAAACAGCCCTATTCAAATTTTTTTTAGTTAGTTGACTAGCTTATGAGTCTGTGGATCCCAGCTTACACATGCATACTCAAGTATCGAACGTACGCGAGTGAAATACAGCCATTCTTTCAAGTTACTAGGTAATTGTGCGAAATTTTGACATAGTAAGTCTGATTTGCGTGCTGCCTTTCTTATTTTCTATACATGCCTATTCTACTTTATATCCGAAGATTAAAAAACTCTCAAGTATATATATATTATAAAGTCGTGTGTAACCTAACCTTATTTGATTTGTACTCATATGCCTTATGTGAGCGTTTTCTAGTAAAGGTGATGATTAAACATTTCAAAACATTTAGAGACATTAAACTGAAAAGACAAGTTATGATGAAAACTCTAGTGCCATTAACTTTACCACCATACTAATAGATGAGAATACAAAACCAAAAGATCCAGCCGGTCACCGACTTCAACATGTTTTTTTTTTTTTTTCGTATTCTGGCCACATTGGCTCTACTAAATTCCCTGAAATGCCAACTCTGTGGCTTGCTCAAAACTTCATTTATACTGATTACTGAACTAGCATGTTGCAGGCAATGCACACTTGCAGGTGTCCATCACGATGAAGGCCAAAATATTCTAAACATAACCACAGAACATTGCCCACCCATAGTGCAGAGCAGTAAAACACTCAGGGGGCTGGCCCACTTACAGTGAATGCATTGTAGCCTTCAATGACCATACCCTCGTCATCAAAGCACTCTAGGGCAGGCAAAGAGTGTCTCTTGGCAAGTGCATAGTCCACCTTGCTATAGCCAGGTGTCACCTTCATGGCCCCTGCAAACACACAAGGGCACTCTCAACTTAAGCTGCGACTATTCATTAGTAAAATTTTCCAATCATGAGACAGCAAGTTGGCATCATTCTAAAGAGGTTAGTCACCAAGTCAGTAAATGCAAGTAAAGTGCGCTATTGTAACTGTATTATTCCAGGTGCCTACCAAGTTCATGTTTCGAAATTCCCGCAGTTTTCCATGTTTCCCCCGAATGATTTTACTAAAGTTACCTGAGTGAAACTTTTTTTTTTGTCAAGATCGGCCGACTCTAGTATGCAGGTTAAAAAGTAAAACTGACTTAATCTCACAAGAACGGTACCAATCAGAATTAAACTTCAATATAGCAATACAGTGAAATGGGCCATTTACATTTATATTTAAAAACTTCAATAACTGAAATTCGTCTTTTATGCAAAGTGTAATAGCCAAAGTATTCATTTTCACACCGAAAATGCCACAACGCGTGCCTAATGCAGCAACCTGAAAAGCTCTTTCTCTCTCTCTCCATTTTTTTTTAGATATGAGAAAAAAGTTCAATTTCATAGAACATCAAACCCAGTGACCACGATTTGACATGGCACCGGTGCGGTACGCGTAAGGACGAAATAATTGCAGGTTTGATGCACTGTGCAATTGCGCCCATTCCGCCGCCGCCGCCGCCGCCGCCGCCGCCGCCGCTGCTGCTGCTGCTGCTGCTGCTGCTGCTGCTGCTGTTGCTTGTTTGCAAAATGTTAGGCATTGCCTACAGTAGTGCTGTCATAACCAGCTGAACAATTTGCTCCCCACTCAGTTTGACACACACAGAATATCAAAACCTGTATGTGAGATGTCAGCCAAAAAGAGCCACAGTTTCGTTGCAAGGATGATGCAATTAATGAGACCGCAACAAATTGGAACTTTCAACAAATATAGGCTACAGCAGCAAAGGGCATAGCCAGCAATTTTTTCCAGGGGGGGAGGGCGGTGGTTGAATTATGCTTTTTCGCAGCCGTTTGGTGCACTAGCATTTGTTTGCGTATTTATCCACATAAAAAATTAAAAACACTTATGTGGGGTTTGTACTTCCCTAACTAATGCCCCTCCACTTAGTTACGCCAGTGATAGCAGCCAACTACTTCAAAAAACATGACCACTGGAGCAAGTGCAGTAATCTGTCTATATTTTCAACAGAAACTTTGCGACCAGAGTACAACACATACATATATATGAATCGGGTGCTCTTTTCCTCTAAATATTATGCGGCACGCATGACCACAGGTGACCACACCCGGTGCTACAAAGTACGCATTTCCTGCTGGAGTCGTGCTAGCTACCCCTTCTACACACACACACATCTTTTCTTCATGGGCATTTTGGGCGAAGAAGACAGCTGGAACATTTAATCTATGCTCGAGTCTCACTGGTCAGCAGTGCTCATGTGCTCTCACTTGCACAAAGAAGATACAACTGAGTGAGGCCATGTAATCATGATTTAGACTTCATATGGAAAGTGATCACGACAGTGAAGTTCACCCGAGGTGTCCATATAATTGCTATCTAAATAAAAAAAAAGAACAAGGGAAATAGCTGCAGTCTAAGATGGCATGAAAGCACGGGAAAAACCCTAATCATGGCGACCTGCTTTGATGGCCACATTTCTGTTTTGCTGCATCGCGCGCTGAATCGAGCAAATGCAACCCACACCTGCTTCACGTCTTCCAATCACTGCTACGCACTGGCTCCAGCAGAAGTCTTGCACTTCAACTTTGTCGCAAAACTTTGGTCGACTGCTTGAGACTTGTTTCAGCAGTACTCTCACCGAACAAGAACAAAAAAAAAAGAGCTTTCTCTTACATAAATGCACCTGTTGGTTACAATTACTTTTGCCTGTATATCTATTCTATTCACCTCAGAATCCCAAATAACATCTCCAAAGCTCAGAATCACAGGGTGTTAGCTTTCCCATATCCAGCAACAAACGGCGGCATCTCTTTACACAACAATCAGGATCCCAACCATCGAGCAAGATACCTGCCTTGCAGACAAACATCTGATTCCTGAAGAAATGCCACTGTTTTCAAGATAACTGAGAGCTATTAACATCTGCTGGTACCACCTGTATGACTACTCATGCTTGCTACCTGTAATGCAGCGATAGCAACAACACTATATCCGGTGCTATTGCACAGTATGCATGACAACGAACATGAAACTGATCTGCATAGTCTCAAAACACCTAAACAACACTGCGCAGTATGATGTGCAGTGCTTAATGCATCCGCAGGTGCTCTCAGATTATGTCCCTCTGAAGTCGAGAAGAACAAAAAGGTGAACGCTTTCTCCGCAGTGGCAGGGCCCGCGAGATTTTAAAAATTGTTTACAAAATATATCATTCCAGCATCACTTTACCTTTCTTTCCTCCAAAATAAGCTTCCAGCAAATTTCCCTGAAGGCAGCACAATTTTCCCCAGCAACAGCCGAGCTGGGCTAAGCTGGGCTGGCAAGCCCAGCCCAGCCTGCAAGCAAATGCTTTGCATTTAAAATCCCTTTCCATCAGTGGGACCCGAACCCACAACCTGATAGACAGGGTGATTTTTAGCCCCTTCTAAATGTAGCCCCGTTTTTACGCAAGGCACAAGTGGCTTTAAAACCCCTTCTGCATATGACGCAACTAGACCAGCGAATTCCAAAGTTGCTATTTTTTTTTCTGTCCTTTCGTTGTGTGGCTAAGATTAGGGTCTGCGCATCTGGATTGCATTGAATGATGATGCCCAAAAAGCGGGTGGCCAATGCGGCCCACATTTCTTGCTAAAATTAGCCCAACTGAGGAAATTTTGAGGCTGGTTGGACAATTCGGTGCAACATAGAACAATTTCAACAAGCTTCACAGCTTTGACTCAGCTTAACACAAAAATATGGAAATGTATCAAATTGGAGCGCATGTTAGACCCCTGCATCATCAGCTCAGATATTAAATATGAATGTGTGGTGACTCCACAGAAAAAATTTTTGGAACTTAAGCCTTTGACGACTAAGCATCATTTCTTGCACCCTTTTGGCATGGGTGTAACACAAGCTATCTATTGAAATGCTATGTGAACTTCATGTATTTTTGTCATAATTAACAACTAAACAATTACCCGTGTAACTTGATGTCGTGTATCGTGTCATGTAGCATGCCTCTCACTTTTGCTATTCACACGCTAAGTACATGAGATCATGCATGTTTGAAAGCCATTGTGTTTTACTGATGATCAAATTACTGATTACCGATGACAGTGATCATTACTATCATCACACTGTATAAGCTACATGCTTGCATTTGAGTGTTCCACTACGTGGGCAAAAATTCGCCCAATACTTTTAAATTCCAAGCAAATGCCTCCCCCCCCCCCTCCTCAGCAAGTCTAAACTACTGGTGAAGTGGAGTGGGAGGGAGAGGGGACGGTACCATAAACCAAGATAGTGGTAGCACAGTCTTCAGTCAGGAAAAAAATTGGCATGCACATGTCCAGAAGTAATCTCAATTTCATATATGGCCTGGCACAATACAATGAAGACCTTTAATGACACACACTGGAAATGCGATCAGACCACAGGTAGCATGGTGTAGTAATCATACAGCCGAGTATCCGGGCAGGCGTCACACGTCCTATAGCACATAGCCAACATATAACATAGACAGATAACATAGGTAAGTCGTTAATTGATATGTGGGGTTCAACGTCCCAAAACCACTATATGATTATGAAAGACGCCGTAGTAGGGGGCTCCGGAAATTTTGACCTCCTGGGGTTCTTTAACGTACACCCAAATCTGGGCACACGGGCCTACAACACTTCCACCTCCACCGTAAATGCAGCCACCGCATAGATAAGTTGCTAGTGGTGTCAGTAGGATTAGCAATGCCCCCTACATAACGCCCTTTACACTATCCCCCCCTTGTCGAAAGTGTGGACCAATTACTGGATATTTACAAGTTCAATCTTTTAGTTGTAATGATGCATCTTCCAGAATGGGTATACTGAATACCACACTATGGAGTAGCAGTATGTGTTGACTTCGGCTGTTTGCATCTGTAGGAGAAGGTGCACTTTCTTGGGGAGTTCTGCTGTCAGTCGTTACCACTGTCTCAGTCACTAGTGATAATGTCATCAATGTAGGAGTTATGTCAAGACTACCAAATGGCACAAGCAGATTACGACTGCACTCTATAACATAATCTGACGTCTCTACCGCGCAGCATCTTAGACACTAAACTCCGCTCGGCATTCGAGCAGTACATCCAGAATCTGTCACTCAGACGTCCAGGTCTAATGATCTAATGGCACTTAGCAGCTTATTCACGCTCCTTGAAGGTTCCATAATCATGCAGTTGCAGAGCTAGATGGCCACAGACCTTTGGCAACCAACCATGTGCATAGGCGACAACCCACCAGAAATAGAGTCTATAGAGCTTGTAGAGCCTGGATGTTCCTGTACATCAGAAGAGCCATGTGACAGTCAACAGTCTTGTGCCACAGTTCTTTCACTGTTTGCGCTGAACATTTCACGTCCCAGCTCGACTCTGGGAAAGCAGGACTGCCCGTGCAATGAACAAAACCATAAGGTGACGCGAAGTGCACTCTCTCTCTACGAGAACTGTGGCCTGTTGTCACTCTTAAGAACATTCGGGCTCTCTGAATTAAGCCATAATGTTTTTCAATGCAGCAATTACCGATATACTTGATGTCCCGTGCAGGGTCTGGACTTATGCAAACTATGAGTAGTAGTCCTAAATCAGCAGTCTTGACCTTCAAAAAGGATTGACCATTTTGATTGATATGTGAGGTTTAACATCCTAAGCAGTCTAGACCTTCAAAAAAGGATTGATCAATTTGATTGATATGTGAGGTTTAACATCCTAAAACCATCATATGATTATGAGAAACGCCCTAGTGGAGGGCTCCGGAAATTTCGACCAACAGGGGTTCTTTAACGTGCACCCAAATCTGAGCACACGGTCTTGCAACATTTCTGCCTC